CCCATGCTTGTGCCCTGACCAGGAATCTAACCATGACCTCCTGGTTAATAGGTCAATGCTCAACCACTGAACCACACCCATACCAGCTGGGCGCGCTCTCTCGCGCTCTCTCTCTCTCTCTCTCTCTCTCTCTCTCTCTCTCTCGCTTGCTCGCTTGCTCTCGCTCTCGCTCTCTCTCTCTCTCTGTTTCTTTTCTGTCTCCAAACATGATCCAATCTCAAAAATATAATTTAAAAGTCTTTTCTTAGATCTTCTATAACCTCCAAACATCATCCACTTTCTTTTTTCTCACCAAACTTTTTTTTTTTTAAATATATTTTATTGATTTTTTACAGAGAGGAAGGGAGGGAGATAGAGAGCCGGAAACGTCGATGAGAGAGAAACATCGACCAGCCGCCTCCTGCAAATCCCCTACCCAGGAATGTGCCCGCAGCCAACGTACATGCCCTTGACCGGAATCAAACCCGGGACCTTTCAGTCCACAAACCGAAGCTCTACCACTGAGCCTAACCAGTTTCGGCTCACCAAACTTTTAAAACAATAGACTACTTTCTCTCCACCTTTCCTCATCTTCTGCCCAGTGTGAAGCCCATTCTGATAGCCAATTAAGAGCGGACTCTCAGCATTCTCCCTCCAGGAACAAGCTTGCAGCCTTCCCCTCCCCTTTCTCTTTCCCCGGGAACTTTACCTTTACCTTCCACTCTCCTAAACTCCAAGGACCCTTCTCTTGCTTCTGTAACTTGTTTACTGAGCCCATTTCTTCTGCCACTCACTTTTTCTTTTTTTTTTTTTTTTTTTTTTTTTTTTTTTTTTTTTAAATATATTTTATTGATTTTGTACAGAGAGGAAGGGAGAGAGATAGAGAGTTAGAAACATCGATGAGAGAGTCATCGATCAGCTGCCTCTTGCACACCCCCCACCGGGGATATGCCCGCAACCAAGGTACATGCCCTTGACCGGAATCGAACCCGGGACCTTTCAGTCCCCAAGCCGATGCTCTATCCATTGAGCCAAACCGGTCCCGGCTCACTTTTTCTATTTCTGTAACTTTCTAAATAAACTTTCTATTTTTATATTTATTAAAAAAAGAGTGGGCTTTCAAGGGCCATGATGCCTGCCTCTGGAGGCTTCGTCTCAATCTCATCCTGACTGACTTAACCTGCTTTGTGAAATGCATGTGTCATGGTTTCCTCCACCCCACCCTTTTCCTCCTCTTTTCCTTCTTAGTGTTGGGATTCCCTAGGATTATGTTGACCTAGGGTTTTTTTGTTCATTCAACACACTCACCAGGGAACACTTAAGCTCATGGGTTCAACAGTCCCTTGTAGATGGACCACAAATACCTCTCATTCTGGTTTTCCCTCCCTAAATCCAATCCCACAGCTTCCAACTGACCTGTGAAAGTGATGATTTGGAGGTCCTGTGACTCCTCAAGCCCAGCTTATTTAAGCATATCATCTTCTCTCTTATGCCTATTCTTTCTCTGTCATTCCATTTTTTTTCATGGTTGAACCATGTTTTATATCATGCTTGCCTAAAAATTTGGCTCCTCCAACTCCTATGTCCTATATAATAAAAGCCTAATATGCAAATCAACCGAACTGTGGGAATTGGGAATGGCCGCTATGACACGCACTGATCACCAGGGGGCAGACACTCAACACAGAAGCTACCCCCAGCCCCCCAGGCCTCACACCAGCCAAGGCGGGTGCCAGTGGGCACGCCCCTGCCCCTCATCCATTTTCCCACCATTTACCCTGCAGAGGGAGGTAACAACAGCGGGGGGGGGGGGGGGGGGGGGGGAGAGGGCGAAGCGCAGGGGTGCCAGCGGGGTGGGGGTGGGGGTGCCGCCTTAATCATCTATCTGGTTGCCCCACAGATTGGCCCTGATCACTGGCCAGGCCTTAGGGACCCTTACCTGTGCTCATCACCAAATCCAATAAATTAACCCTTGAATGCCTCTGAAGTAATTCATCTCCCTTTGATTCTTATCGAACTGTTCTTTGTGAAGTGTTCATTTTCCCCCCCTGACTGTTAATTCCCATTTGGGATTGGAGATTATTTTGAAACTAGAATGTTGAGATGGCTGTCATGTAGGCATTTAATACTTCCTCCATGGGGTTTCAGGTAGTGAAATATCAAACCATGCATCTGAGAAACCTATCTAACTGTTCACTAATATTTGAAAGGGCCTAGGGCTGACAGCAGTATGAGCACAGACTAAGCCATCTCTTTTACTTCACATTTCTCATTTATGAACGTGGAGGCGTAATACCTGTCTCCCAGGACTTTCAGCCTAAACTCTTAATCTTAAGAGGTTGACAACATCCCATCTTTTGCAAGAAATTCCCGCTTATTGGGTAACACTGGGTAACTATTAGGTTGAATTATCTAAAATGCTGGTATTCTAGTATTGATCTATAATGAAACCAGTTTCATAGGGTTCAACCTAATAGATGTGGCTGCAGTTTGAAAATTTAAATGTTGAGGAATAGAGTGGAGAAATAAAATGGAACCCATCTGCTGAATTACTAAAATGAAGTAGTTTGAGGAGAAAAGGATTCTATTTTTGTTTTAACGAGCCTGAGAACTTAACCTGTGGATCATTCCAGTCCTGCGTCAATGCCTGGATATGCATGAAACCTGCTGATAACCCTCTGATCACCCCTTGGAGGACTTGGAAAGAATATTCACATATCCAGACCACTCTACATCCATCACCCAGACCACCCATCATCTAGAGCAGTGATTTTTCAAATAGTGTGCCACAGAATTTTTAAACATGCAATACCTGACTATTTAATCAGGGGTATTGACCTTTTCTTCCCTTAGGTTATCAAATTAAAAATGACAATGAGGGTTGCTGGTTTAATTCCCTTGTCAGGGCACATACCTAGGTTTCGGTCTTCATTCCCAGTGGGGGGCACGTGGAAGGCAGCCCGTTGATATTTGTTTTGCTCTCACATTGATATTTCTCTGTGTCTCCCTTCTTCTCTCTAAAAATCAATTTTAAAAAATGACAACAGCCAACACAATAGCCATCCGGTGTAAATGAATCAAAATTATACTTTTCTTTTGTCAGATTAGCAAAAAATATATTTTTCTGGTGTGCCGCAGAATTTTATGATTAGTTTGTGTGCTAGAGATGAAAAAGGTTGGACATCGCTGATCTAGGGATGACCATTCCAGAGGCTAAGAATGCAGGGCTGATTCTTCTCAACAGTGTATTGTTAAGCCAGCTGGTGTGGCTCAGGGGTAGAGTGTTGACCTATGAGTCGGGAGGTCATTGTTTGATTCCCAGTCAAGGCACATGATTAGTGGTTCTCGCTTATCATTGATGTTTCTCTCTTTCTCTCCCTCTTCCTTCCTCTCTGAAATCAATAAAAATATGTTTTTAAAAATGTATTTTTTTTACTATAAAAGCCGTCAGCTTTTCTTTCCTCTCCAGAAACACTCTGGATATTGCTCAATTGTGTGTCTAATTTGCAAACCTTAAGGCCCTTGAATAAATCTTTATCATTTATTTTGAACCAAAGCCTCCTGATTGATTTAAGCTCAGACGGAAAAATTGAGAGATGCTCCAGAGTTTGTTTCTATTCTTGATAACACTAAGATCCAACTATAAGAAAGGTCAATCTTGAAGTTCAATGAAGTTTAGTCCAATACAAGCTTAAGTTAGAGACCAAAGGCCGTATACTAATTACTGAGGAGTTAAGAAACTTAAGATGTAAGATTTATTTAGGAACTCCAGTCTCAATCACATTTCACACTTTACCGTTTTTTAAGAAATCATATTTACTCAGAAGTGCAATAACTATAGACTTTAATAAAAGGATGAATAAGGATTTAATTTCTTTTTCATATTGTGTTTTTGAACACGTAAAAAGTGATTAGTTGCCTCCATTACTGGTGGAAATAAATCCAATATTTGCCAACATATATTCATTTATTAAAATACTTTTTGTGCTTTCCCAGATGGCTTTTAAAAAGCACACTATTAAGAGACTTCCACTGAGAAAGTCCTTCACTGTTTATTCTTCCACTTCTGCAGACCAGTTAATACATAGGGAAGGAAGACTTCGGCTAAGAGACGTGTAAAGCTCATTCACACGAGTGCCAGGGTCTCAAAAGTGAGAGCAAAACCTGCACCCACCCATCCCCTCGCCCTATTTGGAACCAAGGATGCTCCCCCAGGGCAGGGTCTTTTTTTGTGTGTGTCCTGCCTAATCCCAGCCCTAGGAACCATGCCGAGCCCACTGCCCGCTCTCCACACACACCCGATCCACTGTCCATTCATTTATGTTCCACGCAGAGCACGATGGCCAGCGAGAAGGCCGGCATTGCAGCTTCCCTCCCTCCACGGGGCCGGCGCCGCTCTCTGCGCCCAGGGCCGCGGCCCACAGCCCCGGGGACCATCTGGCGGCCCGCGGCCTCCAGGGCCTTCCCTTCCCGGGAGGAAGGAGCGGGCGCCGGGGACCGGGAAACCCGGGCCCACTTCCTGTCGGGGCCGGACCGGCCGGGCGTCCGCGCCCCCCGCGGCCTGCTGCGTGCGCGCGGGGCCGGGGGGCCGCAGCGCCAAGAATGCGGCGGGGCGCGGGGCGCGGGGCCCAGGGCGCCAGCCGAGGGGCGAGGGCGGCCTGCGGCGCGGCGGGCCGGGGGCGCGGGGAGCCCAGGCCTCGCTCGCGGCTCCGCCCCCGGAGCGTCCGCGGCGGCGCGAGGGTTAAGCGCGGGGGCGGGGCCGCCGGGAGCGCGGCGCGCCGAGTGCGGGGCGCGTGGGGAGGGGGCCGCGGCGGGGGCGGTTCCGGCGGCGGGGCGGGGGCGGGCGGAGGAAGGGGGCGGGCCCCAGAAGTTGTCGGGCGCTGGGCCGGCCGGCGGGAGGGCGCACGGGCTGCGGGCCGGCGGGCGGGCGGGCGGAGCGGGCCGGGGCTGGGCAAGTTTGCGCGGCGGCTCCTGAGCGCAGGCAGGGTGCGGGGCCCGCCGGCCGCTGCGCGCCCGCGGCCATGGCGTTCCGCAGGAGGACGAAAAGTTACCCGCTCTTCAGCCAGGAGTTCGTCATCCACAACCATGCGGACATCGGCTTCTGCCTGGTGCTCTGCGTCCTCATAGGGCTTATGTTCGAGGTGAGCGAGGCTGGGGAGGGGGTGCCCTTTCCCCGTGCGCCGCCCGCGGAACCCCTGCAGGTCCCCGGGGGAGGGGGGCCGTCAGAGCTGGGGCGCGGGGCCGCCAGGACGTGATCTGCACCCTCGGCTTTGTAACTGTACCCCCCTTGGTCTCCGAGTCAGCCCAGACCCCCCCTTACCCCCTCCGCCCCCGTGGCTCTGAGTCTTGCCAGCCTTGCCTTACTTTGCCGACCCCCTCGGGCACCCACCAATATCCTGCAGCTCTCTCTGCAGCCCTGAAGCCTAAGCCTGGCCTCGAACCAACCGCAGTGCTGCCACCCTGGCCCAAACAGCGGGGTTTCCTCTCTGGTGTCCGGGAGCCAAGCCCGGAGACTCCCAGACCCGGAGTCATTGCACAACTATCTCCTTTTCTCAAGCCCTGGCTGTCAGCTCTTCTGGGCTTTTCCAGTGGGAGGGACCCCGACCCTCGCCACGCCACCTCCCACCTGGTTTTCTGGGTCTTCTGCCGTGTGGCCCGTGACCCCATCCCAGCAGTGCCCCATCTGCTGTCCCTCCAGCCCGCCTCCTACCACCCCCACCTTTTTTTTTTTTTTTTTTTTTTTTTTGCCCTTGCCTAAAAGGCCAGTTTTCATATACCCACTATCACTCTGGATTATTCCTTCAGCTCCATCTGTGGTGAACCCAGAGCTTCTCCCTGTTACAGGGCCAAGGAGAGGGATGGCATACCCTGTGCTTTTAGGGGCAAGATGATTCTCTCAATGCTGTGAGGGTATGGGGGTGGGGAAGAGGATGGGGCCCTACAACTCTCACCCCCCTCCCCATGCCCTACTCCCCCCCTCACCCCCAGCAATGTACCAAGCAGGGGCTTGTACTAAGCCAGGAGGGGTCAGATCCAGGGGGTCTGGTGGGAAAGACCTAAGAGAGAATGAGAAAAATGTGATACTCAAAAGTGAGAATAACTGGAGGAAAGTGAGCATAATAGGGCATGCTGTGATCTATCTTGTCACTATCTAGTGGCACTCCCCTCACTCTCACTGTGGCCTCCAATGAGGCCTTGTTCTCCTTTCTGGGTAGGGTTGCTTATCTGTATTCTTAGGAATGGCTTAGGAAGCTGTAACCATTTGTAAACTGCCCTGGAGATGGAGGATTCCTAACGGGCTCATTCCCCACCCCCCACTCTCCACCCCCGTCTCTCGGTCTCGGTGCCCATCCTCTCCACTCTGAGATGACAGGGGTCCTAACTGGCCAGTGGGGCTGCCCTCAAGCTGGGGACATTCTTGTGGTGGCTGAGCCAGGGTTAGATGTATGAATGTGCCCATGGAGGGACTGTAGGAAATAAACCCGAGGCTCGGATGGGTCTGCACACCAGCTTTTGGTAGTATTCCTTGATTTCAAATCCTTCCCTCTCTTCCTCCCTCCTCCTACTTCCACAGGTCTCATTGGTATATTGGAAAGGGCTGTATCTACTAGGGTTGTCCCTGTGTCCCAGTCCTTTCTTTGTCACTAGTCTGACTAATAAAACTAAGTGTAGCCTCAGTTTCCCCATCATTAAAGAGTATAGCCAAACCTCTTTCTTATGGGGTTATTGTAAAGTCTAACTTGAGATCATGTAAGCAACAAAAGCCATGACCGATTCTACAAATATGCAAACAAGTCGCTTGCTCCCCGAAGCCCTGTTGTTATTTATCCTAATAATAGCTTAACGAAACAGGAGAATTTGTTTTGTCCCGCTAATACCCTCTGTCCTGTTTGTATCTGTTTGCTGTCCTCCATGCTAAGAGGCCTCCCAGTGCCATGTCACCAGTCTTGGAGGGTGTGGTTGGAAAGACACACGTGACAGCTGTAGACCTCACAGCAGCAGGCTCTGCAGCCGGCCGAGGCTCCTGCATAGCCTCTCGGCTGTGCCTCTGGTGCTGGTGAAGGTCCAAGGCTCTACCTGCTTTATCTTTGCTCAGAAAGAGCTGCCCTCATGTTGGAGCTGGGTACCTCCTGCCATCCCTGCCTCTCGTCTTGGAAAGTCCTATGCATTAACCTGGCACTCTGTGGGAGTTGGAAAGTGCTAGGAGCCTTTACTCCCAGTACCTCACAGAAGAGAGAGAGAGAAAAAAAAAAACAAAAAAACCCCACAAACTACAAGAACACTTCCGTCCTCCCCGTCCTGGGATTGGACTGGGGAGTGTGGAAGGGACCTTGGCTGAAGTGCAGGCTCCCTCATCCCCGAGAACCTTAGACCTTCACCTCTAGGCGTGCAGGGCAGGAGCCTCCTTCTCCGGGAGGTGTGGAGAAGGTGCAGTGCAGGATTGCCGGTGTATGCTGGTCTGGGAGGAGGAGGGCTGGGCTGAACCTCCCTGATGGAGAATGTGCTGGGCACATAGTAGATTCCCATTGTCTACACCTACCAACTGACTCTCCACCGAGACGGCTATCTTGAGGGACCTCAGATTTTCCGAACTCTGCTCTCCCAACCAGGTGAGAGCAGACACAGCTCAGTTGCTTTTAGGGACCCCAGAGGAACACATGTGGGCATCTTCTTCACGTGTAGAGGACAACCAGGGTGGCACCTCATAACCCAGCACAAGACTTACTGGAGGACACCTGGGGTCTTCTTGGTTCTCCTCTGGAGGTGTGGGGTAGGCATGTGTGTCTGTATGTGGGGATTCATATAAGAGAGGTAACTCAAGCACATCACACTTATTCCTTAAAATGAGGGCAGAAGGAGGTGGAAAGGGAAGGAGAGACGAGGAGAGAGGAGAGGACAGCAGGCTCTTGGGTTTTTAACTTGAGCACGGCTAGGATCCCTTCCTTCAGAAGCTGAGTCAAGAAAACTCATAATTCTTCCCACAAAGAATCAGTCCCCTGTCCAGTCTCTCTGCCGGTGAGCTGGGCCCCTCTCTCACCCCAGCCAGCCCAGCCCAGCCATGTGTCCTAACTGGTCTCCATGTCACTCCTGCCTGGCCCCTTCCTTCCCCAGCTCACTGGTTAGCACGCCATCATGTAGAGGGGCTTTCGTTTCTCCCTAGGGACCCCAGGGCTTCAGCTCTGTCCCTGGAGAGGTGATGACTCCAAATTTCTTCCCTTGGCATCACTTCCTTTTGGGAACACCTATGAAAGGGAGACTCTCTCTCCTCCTTTGGTGTCATTTTGGGCCATCCTAAGATTCCTCCCCTTTCCAAGGCCGAGGGTAGGTTCTCTCCCCAGAATTCAGGTTTTCTTTCTGTCCTGCAGGCTGTTTGGAATAGAGCTGTTCTGTGCAGCCACAGCACTTGGCTAAAAAATGTCAGGAATGTGGAGCTTTATTTTCCCCTTCCTTCTCTTCCAGCTTTCTCTTTCTTAACTCTGCGTTCCCGAGAGGTAGTGCGAAGGGAGTTTTCCACCCCACAGTTCAGCCCTTCAGCCCCATCCGAGGGGCAGTGGGGCCTGACAGTCCTTCGTGGCGTGGGCGGCCAGTGGGGTGTGTATGCTGGGTGTGTGTCAGATTTAAAAGCAGTCTCTTCCCCCCCACCCCACCCCCTTTCCCTTGGCTTTCCCGTGTCCCTTTGAGTGCCACGTTTCAAACTGAAGCAGGGAGGGAAGGAGAGAAAACTCTGACCGGGGAATGGAGTATGAGCGAGAAGGGGTACAGGGAGCAGCGAGAAAGCCACTGATACATTATCTCTAACCCGTCCTCGTGAGACCCACACGTTGTTTGTTTATTTTAAAGCTCATTTGCAGGCTCCGCTGGCCCTGCAGCAAGGAAATGTTTCTGAAATTCTGGGGCCCGTGGTTTGTTTGGTCTGCGATGACTTCAGGGTTTGGGACCGAGAGGAATTTTGGGGCAGTGGCCGGCGCTCGGCTTTTGTTTTGGAGCCAGGTGTGGTCGAGCTCCCTTCTCGGAGGAACTACCTTCTTCCCCGCACCAGGCTGGCTTGTAGGACGATGTGTGTGCAGCGTGTACAGTGGGAGCCCGTTGCGTCACGCCTGTTAGCACGTGGCTTCTGTACACATCCTCCCAGGCATGCCTCTGGGTTTCCTAACCCGGAGGGAGGCCGCTGGTCCTTTCTCTTGAACGTTCGTGTTAAAATAGTCCCGCTCGTGTGGTGTTAATACGGGCATCCGTGGACGTATGTCCTCTTCCTTTGGCTAACCTCTGACGCACTCTTAAAGATGCTCCTTTGCCAGCGTTGGTCGTTCCTGGCTTTCTGCGTCTTCCCCGCCAGCCTCTGACTTAGCCCATTAGTAATGTTCCGGAGGAATTAGTCAGGGGAAACCGGGAAGGGTCGCTGATTCCCTTGGGTGCCCTTGTGCTGAGGTTAGATTTCTGCGTGCCTCGCGCGGTGATCTGAGTGAGCAGCAGAGCAGAACTTTGGAACCAGTTTCTCTCCCGGCCAAGCCTCAAGCGTCGCCCTGTCCTGTGGGGGTGTAGGGCACATCGGGTTGTCCCCAATCCTCCCCTTGGTACAGCGTGCTGTGCAGAAAGATGGTGTTCATCGGTTAGTGGTGTTTTGGCCAAGGCTGCAGGATGAAGACTGATACCTGTCGGAATGCCGTGCCCCGTGCCGGCACACAAACTCTCATCAAAGGTCTCCTCAACCTGGGTGATTGTTTCTGGCTTCCTTGTTGGGTCTGTGAGTTCTGGTTTAGTCTGTGACCGGCCGGTGGGGAGCCCCGGCTGTATTTCATGTTGGATGTGACCTGCTTTGCCCTGAGGCCTGCCCGCTCGGTTCCCCAGTGCTAAGCATCTGCTTTCCGAAGGGTGCAGTTGTTCTATGCTGGGCACCTCTCTTGCAGCCTGTGGTGTGGTTGCTCCCCATCTGTTTCCTCTACCATCGTTTTATTTAAACCCCGGTTATGGACGCGGGAGGGTCTTGGTGCGGCCACGGTCAGCTGTGTGAAGAGCAGCCATGAGGAGGCTGCCTCGAGAGCCAAACAAGGGCCACCTTTCTCCTGCTCCCTCTGTTGTCTGAATCCTCCACGCTCGTTTCTCCGGGGGCACTGTCCAGACGGGTCGCAACAGAGCTCCT